AGCGTATGGCCTCCAACCTTATAGCGTATGGCCTCCAACCCAATAGCGTATGGCCTCCAACCGTTGGACTCCAACCTAATGGTGTATGGCCTCCAACCTAATAGCGTATGGCCTCCAACCTAATAGCGTGTGGTATCCAACCTAATAGTATGGCCTCCAACCTAATAGCGTATTGCCTCCAACCTAATAGCATATGGCCTCCAACCAAAAAGCGTATGGCCTCCAACCTAATGGCGTCCACAACCAAGATGTTCAAAGGCCGTGTTTTTCATTGAAAGAGGTTGGTTTCCACCACCGTCCATCAACCTACCGACAGGGAGGGAGAGATGGTGACAGAAATGTGACCCACCAATGACCTCCGAAGGCTAGCAGACTGAAATATGAGAGAGAGAGAAAGAAAGAAAGAAAGAAAGAAAGAAAGAAAGAAAGAAAGAAAGAAAGAAAGAGAAAGAGAAAGAAAGAAAGAAAGAAAGAAAGAAAGAAAGAAAGAAAGAACGAAAGAACGAAAGAACGAAAGAACGAAAGAAAGAAAGAAAGAAAGACAGAGAGAGAGAGAGAGAGAGAAGAGAAGAGAAGAGAAGAGAAGAGAAGAGAAGAGAAGAGAAGAGGCAGGTAAGGTTTCCCACAACTGAGTTTGCAGAAGGCATGGCCAGATAAGATGGGTGCTTTACGGATTTACGGTTGGAGACTTTTCCTGAAGCCACCGGATAAGGGCGAAGTGTAGCGTGTCTCAATCAAGCACATCATCCATGCGTGTGAGTTCGCCCGAGCTGCGGATTTGCCCTGAGGTTGGGGATGCGCATGATGGCCTGTTTCATGACCTTCCCACCCGACAGTGGGTTTTGTCCAGTGTGCCCTTTATCTTTTCGCAGGCAGGGACCGCTTCAGACTCGGCAGGTCGTGTTTCCAGTGCGCCCTGTCCAATGCTGTCCCCCTTCAGGTGATTTTCCGCATGTACTTCGACGGTTTCCCAGAGGATCGGCATGTGGTGCTCAATTACTCGAACAACTTCATCAACAACATCATGCTGCTGGTCCACTTCGAAATGATTCTTGACGTTTTTTCAGGTGCATGTCCCTCAAGGTCTCGGAGCTGTTTTCTTTGCTGCATGCGACCATTTCTTCAAAAAGAGGCTTAGACCGGCCTAGCCCTGTCCTTGAAGAACCGGCCTTGCCCTTTTCGTCCTCGCATGGTGGTAACTTCCATGGCCTACCCCTCCATGCCTTCCCTAAGGCCCTAAAGATACCTCCATATGTTGGATGAGAGGAATTCACCGCTGATGCTGTCAGGATGGGCTTTCAAATCAACTTGGACACCGCTCGGAAGCTGCGGTCGAACCTCTTCTTGCGGAGGGTGGTGGATAGCCCCCATGTCAACCAGACAGACTTTTTGGCTGGGCAGAGGAGGCAGGGAATGTCAGGGAAGGAATCATTCTCCTACATGTTCAGAACTGTACATATATTATATATAGATTGAAAAGGTAGATGTCGAGTGAAGTTCTTGGACCCAAGCAGACCTGGAAGTGAGAACATGGATTGTCCAGGCAGGCGGAGCTTGAGCAGCAAAATTATCACACTCGACCATTGAAGCAACTCGGCGGTTTTCGTCAGAGCGATGCACTGCGCACAACACTGCGACCACCACCGCGTCAGCAAATGTCGTAGAAACGGTTGAAACTGTTGCACGAGTCAAATCAATCCCTGAGCTTGGTCCAGTGTAGCCCGAACTTTGTGTATGTGTCGCTCCAGTGTTTCACATGCCTCATTTAGATTTTTTTTCAAAGTACTGATGGGCCCATGATTTTCTCGTGGGTTCCTTTCCCACTCTTTGACTTTCCGTGGGCCCGGCGTGCGGTCACCTGGATCTCTGAGGTTTGGCCACCTGGATGCCCCACGTCCGGATGAGATCCAACTAGAGCATGTGCTGCAAGCCCGTGCGGACCGACGTGATGGCAAGAGCAACTGGTTGTCGGCCTCGGCCACTTGGTGCAACATGGATCTCAACAGCAGCGCAGCAGTGGGTGGAGGAACTCTTTCTATTTTTTTGGACTTGATGTTTGATGTCAAATTTTTGAGGCATAGCCGGCATAGCTCATGATGGCGTGGGGTTCTTGAAGTTTGGTTGATAAGACATTGTGACATGAGCCAAAGGTGTCATTGTCCCCGCAATCGAAGAAGGATTTGGTCCCCACCGAGCTGAGTGCCTTGGAGAAAATCAGAAGACTCGGGAGTGTGTGCAAGATTCTGACATGCCTCCAAGTCACAGCTGAGGTGTGGACCGTGACTTGTCTCACATCAAAAGAAAAGCTGTGGTGCAGTTGCCAGAGGTCCACGTTCTACAAAACAAAAGGCTAACCTTGACCGAAACATCAACATAAAGAAGATGAGGTGTGCATTCACACGTCGTCTCTATTGATGTACATGAATGTAATATGACCATTTGATTCCATAGCAGCGTTTGTCGTATTTCAACCTGAGGCTACCTTCCTCTGAGTACGCAGGGTATGGCGATGCTAGATCGTCACATCTCAGAAATGGCCCACATCAGTGGTGAAGAAGAAGCTCCTGAGCCGCTTGGTGCTTTCGGCAGACCCAAGTGGACATCATGGTCTATAACAGGGCGCTGGTGGCCATTGGCAGTGGCCCTTCCTGGTTGACGTTGGGTCCAAGGCACATGAGTCGAGTAACAAGAAGCTACTCGTAGCAAGTGCATCGCTACTGCAGCAAGAAGTTACTAGTAGCGATGCCCTTGTTCCTAGTAGCTTCTCGTTACTAGTAGCACGATTGCTCCTAGTAGCGATGCCAGGAGCCCCTAGTAGCGATGTCTGCGTATCCTTCACCATTTGCCACACAGCCTAAGGACGGGCCCGGAGCTGGACATGGAGCTTATAGAAAGCGTCCCTGGTGGCTGGACGGCAAGAGTCGCGCGCAAACGCGCACGCAAATGCACTGAGTGTGGAATTGGCTGGCAAGTGGTGTGACCTTTGCTTCGGAGTTTGTGAGTTTGACTTCGCCTGTTGCACCGAGAATTTGACTTCGACAGTCCTCGGTCGGCAGCCGCAAGAAGAGGACCTTTGAGAGTTGTGGGACGGCTGGGCAGGGAAGTCACAGCAACTTTTACTTTGTCCTCGTTTAGCTGGCAAATCGTTACCGCTCCTCCCGCAGGAAGCTTTGCTGGTGACGATCTTGAAGATGACCGTCACTGGTTTCAAAGAGCTCCTTTCGTGCTGTTCTTTTTGTTTGGGGTTGACCAAACCAAACGGGCAGGCAAAAAGGGTTTGCGGTTTGATTTTTGAAAAGAGAGCAGCATGGTGTGGTTCGTCGACGCTTGGCCCAGCGCTTTTCGATCCCAGTTGAAGAGCCGATGTCGCCCACCAGGCGCGGCGCTCTTCGCTTTTGCGACGCCGTGCCGCACCGGACGTTGTCACAGGAGCATGGTGGACGGCGAGATGATGTCATCCTTTTCGGAGGGCAAAAAGGGGGGTGCGAATGCGCCGCGCTCGAATGGCAGGACATTTGAGCACTATGCTGCTTGGTGGCAGGTCATGCACTTCATTGACAGTCGAAAGTCCAAGCTTTGGGACACTGATTTCCTTTTTTGGAGGCAGAAAAGGGCCAATGAAAGAAGGGAAGAAGAAGCCAAGAGCCACAGTCGCAGTAGCTTTTTGAATGAGATTGAATGACTCAGCGCGATATGTCGATCCCCGTGGCTTTTTTCCGTGTCGGATCCGTAAAACCTCAGGATGAAGCGACACCGCCAACAGCTTCTTGAGTTACTTTGCAACAATGACAACGAGGGAAGACCGAAGACCTGACATGAAGCCAGGATAAGTATGACATACAGAGAAGCACCGTACCTAACCATTAGCCGCAGAGAGAGAGAGAGAGAGAGAGAGTCCGAGAGAGAGTCCGTCTGGGAAAGCCTCCATTTGTGCTCCCAGATGGGCATCAACCTTCTGCCAAGTAGTGAATAGATGCCACAAGCAATCGGTTGTCCTGCTTCGGATTCGGTTCTGAGGCAGAAACTCAAAGCAGAGACTTTGCCAGCCCGCTTTTGCAAAACAGAGTTGAACACGCCAGAGTCTCAATCCGACAGCGCCCTACAATCCTCGAAATGTTCTTGACTTTGTCGACTATAGACTTGTATCTGCCTGGAGACGATTTCACGCCAGGACCTGGGTCTCGCCTGGTATGCTGAGTCTACATGGAGACGCTGAGGAGCCCCTAGCAGCGTCCGATCGCTCCGTTCGTAGCGATGCCCTTTGCTCCTAGTAGCTTCTTGCTCCTAGTAGTACGGCCAGGAGCCCCTAGTAGCTTCCTTGCTCCTAGTAGCGATGCCAGGAGCCTCGTTCGTCGCGTCCGATCGCTAGGACCGGGATGTGATGCGAATGTCGCGCTCCTCGACCTTCGCCCTGAAGATGGCGCCGAAGAATCCCCGCCTCACGGGCCCCACGGCGCTGAGGCATCGAAGAGGAGCGCCATCTTCACAATCTTCACATGACTTAGGCCGCTTAAAACATGTTTTGCACAAGCAACTAACTAAACAACTGTCAACAGATGAATTCTTCTTACTCTTTGCTTCGTTGTTAGTTCGTGTCATTTTCTGAGTGAAGGTCGTGCTTCTGAGATGTTCCCCCAGGAGTTTCCAAAGAAGCGGAGCAAGCGCCTGTGCAAGGTGATCCTCTGGAGCGCGGTAGCCCCAACCACCGGAGCCCGTTGGCAAGGGGAGGTGAGACACTCACCCTAGAGCCGCCATGGAACCTCAGCAACAAGGCGCAACATGATTAAGATGTAGAACTCAGCATGTAGATTCATGAGATTGGCACACCAGGTTGTGTACAATCGCCTGGACATAGCCACAAAGACCAGCCAGTGGCTTTGATCAATTTGGCCAATCTCTTTCAAACTTCTTGCCGACCTGTCCGCCTCTTTCCATCTCTAGACTCTAAGCTCACGGCCACCTCTTCGTTTCAGGACTCATTCCTTTGCAATGTATACCAAAGAATACGATGTCTTCACTGGTGACCTGAAGCAACGTTTTGATGAAAAGCGGCTCCGGGACGAGGAGGACTGAAGCCAAACCACAGTGTTCTTAGCAACAAGCATTTCCTCCTACTCCTGCAGTCCGCACAATTTGTTGCTGCCAGGATGCATATTTGAAGAAGATGAGGTCAATGGTTGGAGGGAATCACATGAAAAAGCTCCTATACCCAGGAGGATTCCAGAAAGCCGAAGTCGAGTCAGTTGGAATGAAGCCATGCCCCCCCAGGCTCAAAACGCTTAGCAGTTAAACCTATATAATAGCAACGGTCTCCAACCTAGAAGCGATGGCCTCCAACCTAATAGCAATATAGAAGAGTACCACATAGATGATGCTTAAAATCCTAGAGCCTAGATGAGCCTAGAGCATTATGATCACTGCAGCATGTGGGCCTGAAAGCTGGAGGAGACCTGGGGCGACGATCAAAGTCCTCCCCGACTCTTCGATCTCTTCGGCCATGAGAGCACCGCAAAGAACTGTCTGGTAGAAGTGACCTTCAGGTGTGAGAGAGTCTGGAGAAGCCCAGACCGTTTCTAGTAACTAGTAGCTTCTTGTTCCGAGTAGCGCTTCTTGCTCCTTTTGGGGATAAAAGACATGTCAAGAATCAAAAACATCTAGAGCAGATGGGCCATCTTCCTCCTCACTGACACTTTTTGGTGGCTCCTCCCCAAGCTGTGAGACCACTCTTCCGAAGCTGGGTCAGTTTCAGCTTTGTCGGAGAAGTGGCCTTTACATCCTGCTTGGGCAGGGGATCTTAATATCGTTATGGGACTTTTGCATGAGTCGTCATCGTTACCCTTTTGCATCTTTTGCCTTTGCCCATGTCATGCTTAAGCATAACATTGAGCACGTGAGAAATCAGAAGACCTAAAAAGAAAAGGCTCAGCAGGAACAGAACCTCTTCCTGGCTCTGCAAAAGGCTTCCTGATCTCTTCGGAGAACGTGATTCGGTGCCTCCATGCTGCCGTGCCGACCCTTTCTGCGGAGTTTGCAGCGAGCAGCGAAGCTGGACTTGCTGGAAATTCGGACGCTCCTCCCAAGGAGGATTTTTGGCCTGGTGGCGTTCGGACCAGAGCGAGAGGTTCACATTAAGGAGAAAGTGGGCCAATTGAACTGCCAATTGAGTTGTGATACTTCCCAAAAGAGTTAGACAAGCTAAACATCTCGTGGAAGCGCTTCTGGTGAGTTCTTGTGTTTTCTTTTTGCACCTCCTGAAATGCCAAAGGCACTGGCGTTTTACACTGCTCGGAGCTCAAGAGCTGTGGACTTTGGGGCTGGGCACTTGGACGTCTGCGAGGTTGTGCCCACCATGCTGTGCTCAGAGCCAAGACTTCCAGCCTTGTGTGTTGTCTGGGAAGCACTTTGTTGAACCATGTTGCTGTATGTTGCAGTGTTTTGGATGCCCTTCCGGAGAAACTCTTGTCAAGAGACGGAAGGCCAAAGCCTAATGACCTGGTCGGCCAAGCATGCAGAGCCCACCATGATTGCGATGTTCTCGGTGCCTTGGTTGATAATTGTTTGTGGTGTTGGATTACGCTCCAAGAAGTTGGTTGCGGTGAAGGTGGAAATTGCTTAGCTGATGTTGGGTGCGGGATGGAAGCTCTCAACAGAGGGTTCGGTTCCAAAGGCTTGCTGGGAAGCATCTGAAACATGTAGACATGAACATACATGAACTATCAGAAACCGGGAAAGTATGGTGGGGAATATTTGAGGTGCTTGGTGTTCAGCCAGGTGCTGCAACCTCTGGCAAGCGCCTCTCTGTCCTGGATCTTGCGAAGCGTCGGAGTCTTGGGCGACTCGAGCAACAAGAGAAGACAGAAAGGAGGCCAGTGGCCAGCTCTGCACAATTCTGGCCAGTCGCCTTTTTGCTGGGAAAACTGGTTCGAGAGGGGGGGGCCAAGCCAGCGTAAGTCGAGAGATCAAAGCTAAGCAGGTTGCGCCAAGTCTACGCGATACACTCCTGCTGGTGACCTCGGCTGAAAGGTGTTCGAATGCCGAGTGTTCGACTTGAACCCAAGAATTCGAGTCTCTAAGCAGTCGTAAGAAGCTACTACTAGCTCCTGGCCTTACTACTAGGAGCAAGGACGCTACTAGTAGCTCCTGGCATCGCTACTAGGAGCAAGAAGCTACTACTCCAGCCCCGATGACGTGCCCCCAGCACTCGGCCTGTCTTCGCGTGTAGGCTCAAAGGATATCTCTCTGAGGCCACCACAGTGGAACATGCTCGGCGGCTTGCCAGTGATGGTGGGTGTGTGGTTGGCCGTGTGCTCAACAAAACGACGTCCAAACTCCAAACGTATTTGTTTTTTCCTTGTGGCTAGTTTTAGAATATGTATTGAGTCAGTCCTAGATGGGAGTCGATCATTGCTGGTGCATTTAAACCTTTGCAGTGAGATCTATAAGATCTCATAACTTGTCAAGAGTTGATGAGATGCCCGTGATTGGATTCTGCTTGGATCATTTTGTGCATTTGCCGCCCAAACGCCGCCGCCCGACGCCCGACGCCCGGGTTGTTGCAGACCCCGGGTGCCCGGTGGAACCATGGCGGGTGCCCGGCGGCTCTTCGCCGGCACTCCTTGGATTGGAAATGATTGCTACTTTCCGTCGCAGACGGCCAGGCCTCCACCGATTCCATGGTCAGGAGACGATCCGATTTCAGCTGTGGACATTCCGTGGTAGGATGTTGCCTTCCGAGAGATTTGGTGTGTTGCGTGTCAAGAAGGGACACGCCCAGGAGAGATGGCTCAGTTCTTCCAGGACTACCGAACTCTCGATGATATAAATCGCATTTTGGCTGCCTCATGCGCAATCGCCGCAGCTGTGCAGCTTTCTTTTCGTGTGTGGGAGGCTTCAGGAGGCATTGCTATTGATTGCGTCATGTTGAGCTGAGGGTACCTCGACCTGTTGGCCCAGCGGCATCCTAAGTTGGTGACTGTGCGTGAGATCGGCCATTCCTGGGAGGGGAGGCCGTTACGGGCTGCAGCCTGAGTGAACTGCTGTGGGTCCGCACGCATCTATAACAGACTGAATCCCTGAAGAAATTTGATGTTCTTGCCGCCGGTGCGTACGCTGACCTTTCACTGGAATAGATGAGGTCTTGGAAATTACCAAAGATGGAAATTCGGCAGAGAAGCCGTGCATTTTCCTTGAGGGTGGCATTCATTCACGAGAATGGATTGCCACTTCCACGGTACTTTACATAGCAGGCGCTTTCCAGCGACTTTCAGCTTTGTTTCTTCAGTACCTTGAGCACGCTCGCACCTTGAGTAAGCGATTCGAACGTTGTTTGTTTCAGGTTCATTGCTGCGCGAAGCTGAGAAGAGTGACGTGCAGTTGCTGCTGAAGCACTTCGTCTTCACCTTGCTCGTCCCGGTGAACCCCGATGGTTACGTCTACACCTGGGAGGTCGACCGTATGTGGCGCAAGACGCGGAGTGATCGCCCCAACCTGCAATGCGATGGGAAGGTGGCGGGTGTCGATGCCAACCGCAACTGGGGCTTTACTTTCGGCAAGACGGCGGACAAATCCTATGAAGCGTAGCAGCATGAGGAGTTAAGCGGCATGTCACCCACGTCAAAGGGCTTTCATGCCGCTTCATGAGTAGGTTAGAGGCCATGGCCGCCATGGCCGTTCAGCATTCTTCCAATGTTGGAGGGTTCTGCATGGCGCCACACCCGTGACCAAGGAGTCACTTTTGCACGATCCATGCTCCTCCGTCTTCATTGGCCCCAAACCGTTTTCTGAACCAGAGACGAAGGTGGGAGGATTTTGATATCCTAACGCCACTCTTAGCTTCATTTGGTGCAAAGCTCATGTTCCAATGAATTGGCAGGCGGCGTCTGATTACATGAAGCAAAGGCAAGAGAAAAGCTTGCAGTTGAAATCCGAGACCGCGGGTCCTGGTTATGTAGCTGCCTTCATTGACTACCATTCTTATGCTGAGGCCAGGAAAAACGGCCGACACGAAATGACACCATTCTTTCCACAAGATGCTGTACGCTGTTGAAAAGCTTTGCATGTTGTTGCCACATTTCAGGAGGCTGATTCGCATTCCCCAAGCAGTGTGTCCACACTGAGGGGTTCCTACGGTAAGTGTAAGAGCCCGGGTTCGATCAGGGTGCTCTCTCTGATCTGGGCGTGTTGGCTGCGCAGGACTTGGTCATCACTTTTCGTGGCAGGCGCAAGGGAAGGAGCCTCGTGAGATGTGGCGGTCTAAAGTCGACCGAGATCGGAGATCGGAGCAGTTGGATGTCGGAGCAGTGCAGATGTTGTGGCAGGCGTAGTGCTTTGGACATGGTGGTGGTCTTCGGCATGCTCCATCGTGACTTTTGGACATGTGGCTCGTTTTCAGATATCGTGGCAGGTGCAGTACTTCGTGGGCCTTGAAGTGCAGATTTCCTGGCGGGCACCGTGTTTTGTGGACCTTCAAGAGCAAATTCCGTGGCAGCTGCTACACCTCTAGACTTCAAACATGCTGTTTGGGGCATCTGCCGGGATAATGTCTTGTTATTGCGTTTTTTGAGGTCTCACTGTTTACGCCGGTCTTTAGCAGGGACGTGTTTCAAAGAGTCACGTGGGCTAGTTCAGTTCATTTCAGGCGTCAGTTTTGGCCATTCGCCCAGGCAATGCTACCGCCATGGGCCTACACTGCGGAGACCCCCAGCGGACCGGATGGTGTCTACCAGACGGAGATGACCAAGTCTTTGAATCGGGCGTTCTTCAACACCTCAGGGCGTACCTTCCATGCAGGACTTGGACAGCGCTTCTTGTGGAAGGCTGGGACTGTAGTGAGCAGCTTAGGAGCTGATGTCTTCGTTTTGCAGGAGCTGATGTGTTTCCCCCAGACCCGGGCACTGGTCCCGACTGGGCCTATGGACTTCTTGGCTTCTCAGATGAAGTTGGCAGAGTGCGCTGCATATATTTGTATCAACATGTGGGAGGAAAAACAAGTTGTTTTTCTTTTCTTGGTGGTTTTGGAGGGACATCTATAGGTTTGGTAATCAGCGATGAGCTACGGCTGCTATTTGGAGAGATTATCAGAGAGAAGGAGCGTAGTCAGTAGCCGTAGAGTTCTCAAGAGGTCCCTTCCATGCTCCACGTCAATGATAAAAATGATCAACATCTCGGATTCCTAACTTTCGACGCCTGAGGAATCCGCGCTACCATGACCATTGAGCTCGAAGGTCACAGCTTTTGCCTGCCAGCGACACAAATCCAGAACGTTGGGCAGGAGCAATGGGCAACATGACTAAAAAGTTGGTTCCCTTTGTCGAAGCTAGCCGCGTGCAAGATGCGCTCGGAGCTTCCCACTGTTCCGAACAATTCTTTTATAGGAAGAGTTGGATTTCAAGCAGAAGCCAGAAGCTCTTGACCCTTTCGTTTTGATCCTTCCTTTCTTCTGTCCTTCCCTTTGTTACTTTCTTTTCTCTCTCCCTCTCTCTCGCTCTGGTTCATTCTAGCCGAGGCTGGAGTCAAGGCATTGGCGAGCTTCATCCAAAAGCACGGGGGAGAGCCATCCACAGAGACTGGCCTTTTTTGCACCAGGCTGGGCACCAAGAGCAGTGAGAATAGAAAGCCTTTTTTGGAGGGAGTGAGTCAGAGCATTGCACCTGGAAAGTTCTTTTTTGGCGGGTCCTTTTGGGTGCTTGGAGGTGGCAACTCCTTGCTCGTTGCAGCCAACCCATCCATGGAGGCACCTGCCTCCTACGGGTGGCTCATTGCCTTGACTGTGCGAAACTCACAGCAAAATCTCGGTCAAATTGACTTTGCACGTTCATTTGGCACGTCGAATTCGGTCACTTGACGGCGAACACGCTGAAGCGGTGTTCACCGTCCGAGGTAGGTGGTGTCATCGTCGTCGCCGTGGCTGGCCTCATGGGTGCAAGGAGCTGGCTGCTTGGCCAGGGCTGCCAGGGATGATCCAACTATATAATTTATAATACTATCTTCTTGCTACTGATAAGGAGAAAGAAGAGAACCTTGTTACTACTAGCTTCTTGCTACCAATAAGCGATGCCAATTGTTATTGGAAGCGATGCCCTTGCTCCTAGTAGCGAAAAACACAGCCGGTACCACAGTCTTTCGGAACGTCCTTGCTTTTCAGCTTGTCTTTCCCAAAGGCTGAGAACGTCACGTGGCCGGAGCTACGCAGCTGATGGGATTGAGCTTGAATGAGAGTGGAGCCGCGCCTTCAAAGTAATGGCACGCTGGTATGACCTGCCACGAATGGGCTCATGCACACCAGGAGGGTTTGTGCATAGCTTGGAGGTGAAGATGCAACGTTTTCTCTCCCTCTCTCTCTCGAAGTTTGCATAGTTGAAAGGAGTGTTGAAAGGCAAAAGGTGCTCTCGGGTCTTTGTGTTTCGTTTCGGAGCCGTTAGCCACCAGATCCACTGTGATCCACTGTGATCCGAGGTCTCTCGTGCGTCTGCGCCACCAAAGGCGAAGACAAGTCCGCTCAAGACAAAAGCAAGCTAGCTGCTGGTGGTGTTCCTGTGCTTCGGATGCATTGGGATTGTGTCACGTACATCCCGCTTTGTGTCCACAGCCTCAGCTGACCATAGTATGGCCATTGGCACAAAATCATTCTATCTTGGGGCACTTGGGTGTGATAAAGAGCACAGATGAGCACAGCTTCTACTGCACAAGCGCCGGGGGGGGGTGGTTGTGCATTGGAAATCTGGCTTTGGACGCTTCGTGTTCAAAGCTGGCCAATCTTGGCGCTGTCAGGCATCTTGCATGCTAATCCTAAGAGTTGGAACATTTTCTTTTGTCCTCAACGGCCATAAGTTCAGCATGGAGAAGCGAAGATGGAGGTCTTTCTGTCCCACTCCTGTGAGGCTTGATAGCTGGTGCGGTCCGGCCAGCTTGACGCGGACGATTGCTCAAGATAGGTTCCTGAGATGTAAACTTGCACTTTTCTTCAAGCGGATTCTGGCATGCCCTTGAAGTGGCGCCACACAGATGATATTTGCATCGCACAGGCATGTGGAATCCTGGGTTTGCTTGCCCGTCCCCTCTTCCCTTTCTTGTTTGCACAAATGGTCAGTATTCTGCCATTTTGCCTTCTGCACCTTTCTATATAGTTGATTAATGTTGATTATAGTTGCAAATGTGCAACTACTGTACACTGTACTAGTGATGACTGGGCTGATGCTTTGCAGTTGGGCTGTTCATGAACTTCAGCTTGCCCTCTGGAGATGATTTGTTTGAACGACTGAGATTGCTTGGAGGCTGGGTGGCCGGATTGGAGTCTTCTTTTCAGAATATTTGTTTTGTCGCGAGTTGGGCAGGCATGGTTTGGGACCTGCTGAAGGATCACGAAGCAGTTGGGCTGCACTGGGAGTCACAGCATATCCAACATTGTCCCATCATGTTCCATTCCAGTGCAACAAATCAGATGTCTTTTGACCGAATTTCAGGTACGTTCCTTCTCGAGCTGGTCGAGTGGTGAGCAGCACGCCATGCTTCCACTGGATGTCAAGTGAATGGTCAAACCGATCCAGGGTTGAAGAGTAAGCTTTCCAAATGGGAGCTGCGGACAATCATGAGATCTAAAGTAAAGCGTTGCCCATGCAACACATGAATGTGCAGACAGGACAGGAGCTGTCTGCCGAACATGTCAAGGCGGTTCTAAAATGTTCAAAGCCGCTGTGCCTGCTTTGTGAAAGTGTTAGAGTTAGAGTTAGAGGGACGATCCCGATATTTGCGTCATGATGCTACAGTCATGCATTTGAGCGTGTCGTTAAGCGGATGACCTGTCGCAGTTGCCCATTCGAAGCCGTTTGGCTGAAGCCAACAATGAGAAGGAGTCCACATAGAAATGATGTGAGTGGGATTGATAAGCCACATGTTCTGGCATTTGGAGACCTGTATAGGCTGGGGTGTGCATTCAAACATCCACACCTTCTCAGACCACGGTCGATGGCACAGTAAGTCAAACCCTGAGAGCATGCCAAAGGTATATCTTAGGTACGGAGCTTAAGACAATTTGACGGCTTGACTCACACGGCATACGTCGGTCAGAAAAGAATCCTAACTTTTGTGGTGACCCTGTCACCGAAAAGAACATCGTCTCAGAACCTCTCAGATGTATTGCGTTTGTGCTGGCCGCAATGGTGAACACGCTGACCTTGCGACATGTCTTTGAAGGTCTTCGATATTGACCCCACTTTGAAGTCGGTCGGAGACCTCATTTGGGAACGTGTGAAAGGATTCAGGCGCGAAGAAGTCTTTTTTGTCTCGCACGCCAACTTGCGGACACGTCCACGTCACGCCCCTAACAGCCCTTCCACTTCGTGGGGTGCTCTAGGGATTGTATGCTACAAAAGGGACACAAACATGCAGTATTTCTGCAACGAGGAACGGGCAAGTTTAGATGATAGCCCAGTTGGACCATAGAACTAGCCGCCCCCGTCTTCTTATACCGGGGGTACAACTGCTACATGTGTTTTCGAGTCTTTTTATCTCAAGCTGCTGTGATGCCATTGTTTCATACGGTATAAAACATTTTTGCCGATTGATTGATAGATATTGATCGCTTGGACTCAGCAAGCTTGAGATAACGGGATGTCAGCTTGCTGATTCAGCTTGTGACATTTCCCGACTCTATCGTCGTGGATCTGCAGTTAAAAGGTGGTGGAAAGATGAGCTGCACAAGCTCGAAGGCGGCATCTACAAATTTGCCGATGGATGCAATCTCTTTGGCTTTACCCACAAGGAGATTGATTTGACTACTGTAAGTACTGTATTGCTTATTGGATCTTTTTTTAAAGCTGTACCAGCAGGAGGGCAGCATCACTTACCGCGAATGGGTGCCCAACGCCAAGCAAGTCTTCCTCATTGGCGATTTCAACAAGTGGGAAAACACGACACCTTTGGCTTCTGAGGCAGGGGTGCTTTTGTTCGTCAAGATGCCCTGTTTCGTACCACCTGGCCAATTCCCTGTGCTTAGGTTGAGGTTACATTATATTGGCTTATATACAACTCCAATGTAGGTTTGTGGACCAGGGCGATTACATGGGGGATTGTCACTGGCCATATGGTACCCTCAAAATGTTTGTGAGTGTCGGGATGCTTGCATCAGGGCTTCGGACGTTGGGCTGTAGAGCTCAAAGATGTTGGTGGCAAGCCAGCGATCCCTCACAAATGCCAAGTCAAAGTGAGTCTCTTGGCTTTCATTTGCCTAGAGTGTTGTGAACAGTTCAGAGAGCTTGAACCTTGTCGTTTGATGTGTTTTTTTTCGTTTGCCGTGTGTTTTTGCCACCTGCCACCCTGTTTTCTGACCGTGTTTGGTCAGAACCCCGAGGAATCGAGACGAACGACCACCAATGGATCGAGCGTGTTCCTGCTTGGACTCGTTTGGCCTGGCAAGATCCAAATACCAATCTCTTCAATGGCGTCATGTGGCACCCCGCACAGGGAGAGCGGTACACCTTCAAACATGAAAGGCTGGGACTGGTGTTGATTTGGGTTCAGAATGGAGCACCTTTTAGCGCAGTGGCTTTTGTGTGGGCGCTCGGACGAACGGGCGGTTCTGGAATTCTCGGTGGGTACCTTGAACAGGCCATTGATGCCAGCATCTCCAAAGATCTATGAGGCACATGTTGGCATGAGTTCAAAGGAGCCCAAAGTGGCTACCTACTTGGAATTTGCAGAAGATGTGATCCCCCGCATCAAGCGCATGGGCTACAACACTATTCAGCTGATGGCCGTGGCGGAACATGCCTTCTACGGATCCTTTGGTTACCATGTGACCTCCTACTTTGCGCCCTCCAGCAGATGTGGAACGCCCGAAGAGTTGAAGAGGCTGGTGGATGAGGCCGGGGGGGTCCAAATGTCAACAGCGCATGGCCTCTTTGATTTCTGAGCCTGGCGTTATTGGAACATCACAAAACGTCATAAACGTGATTCCAGTTGTGCGGCATTTGAGACATGAATCCCACTGAGGCACATGGATTGGGCATGGTGATCATCATGGATTTGGTCCATGCTCACTGCTCCTCCAATTCCTTGGATGGCATAGCCATGATGGATGGAACAGACCACTGCTATACTCATGGAGGTCTAAAGGGACACCATTCCCAGTGGGACTCCAAGCTTTTTCACTACACCAAACACGAAGTTCTCCGGTTCCTACTCTCGAATATCAGGTATTGGTTGGAAGAGTTTCGCTTCGACGGCTTTCGATTTGATGGTGTCACTTCCATGCTGTACCACTCCCATGGTATTGGAAAAGGCTTCTCCGGCAACTATCATGACTATTTTGGAGGCGATGCAGACTTAGAAGGTCAGATCTACTTGATGCTGGCGAATGAGTTGGTTCACCACACACTGCCAAGTGCAATCACAGTCGCAGAGGAGGCCAAAGAAGTTTCAGAAGTGGAAATTGTAGTGGATCTGAGGGAGACTGGGTTACTCGTAACTACGTGAATCTCAGCATTGGAATGAAATCATCCACTACTTCAATCCACCCTTCATAAATTGGAACGAATGACCTTTGCAACTCGCAGCAATCTCAGCCCCTGAAATCTTGTGTAGGTGAGTGGCATGCCAACGCTTTGCTTGCCAATCGAAGATGGTGGGTTTGGCTTCAACTATCGGTTGGCAATGGCAGTTCCTGACATGTGGATCAAGCTGCTGAAAGAAGTTCCAGATGATTTGTGGGACGTGGGCTACATTTGTCACACCCTCACCAACCGACGGTGGAAAGAGAAGTGCATTGCGTATGCAGAGTCACATGATCAATCCATCGTCGGTGACAAGACAATCGCATTCTGGTTAATGGATCAGGACACCACTAGC